CTTTTGATACAAAAGGAATCAAGACTGGTTATTACTCATTACTGTCAGTAGACCAGCAGAATAACCACCTTCTGGTGGGGGCAAAGTAAGTAAAGTTATTAATAAAAATGTATACAGTCAACTCTCTCTTAACGGACACCTCTATAACACGGACACCTCTATAAAACGGACACCTAGAGTTGGTCCCTGCTTTTCTTTACTCCCCTTATTTGACTCTCTATAAGACGGACTTCTCTCTAAGACGGACACATAGCACTGGTCCCAAAGGTGTCCGTCTTAGAGAGAGTTAACTGTACGAGGTCAGCTCTAAGGGGGACACCATTGGAACTATAAGTGTCTCCCTTAGGAAGGACTGTCTGCCTTATAGAGAGTCAAAGGGTAATATCAGAGAACTGTACAGAGTCTGCAGAGTCTAATTCAAGATTTCCTTTGTACCTGTTGGGAGTTGTCCTCCCTTTACAGCTGTAGAGAGTGACAAAAAAAATAATCACAACTGGCATTATAGTGCGAATAAAGATTTCTATTGTAGAGTAGCCTGTGAATGAGGGATTGAAAGAAGAGGTAACTCGTAAGAAGAAGGAAAAAGGAGAAGCGAGAGTGGGGGTGGGGCGGGGGTTGGGGGGTGGGTTACTCCTCATATAGGCTATACAGACCGTGCTGTTCAAACAGGCTAGGGTGTCCTTTTTCCTCTCTGACTTTGGATCATGGTATAATTTTAAAGGATCACCCTCATAGGGGTGGAGGGAGGGAAGGGCTAAGTAATATGCATATCCAGTTTTATTTTTTTAAATTTTCCTCCACATCAAAGAAAAATACGCTTTGAAAGTTGCTGGGTTTTCCGGAAGTGGAAAGAGAAATAACATTTCTGTTTCTAAGGAAAATGACTGCTCTGTAACCCATGATGATATTATTATGATGACTAAAACATTTTGTGATCGTGAAATCATTCCAGTGGAGCCCTGAGGTTGAGTCTCAGGGTTGATCTCATCAGACTTGAAGGAGCCAGTTTCTTACATGTAAGAAAAGAAATTAAACCATCACAAGCCCTTTTCTGCTTTTCTGAAATGAGGGAAAGAACAGATCATTGTCAAGCCATGCAATATGATACATGTACTTCCAGAAAATTCCATGTGGAGTGACAGGTTTATCAGCTGTGTTGTTGTACTTGCAGGAATGTTGCCATTCTTTTGGATCTGGAAGACATCGATAGTTATGTGGTAAGTTTGTACACTGCTGAAGTTATTGAAGTTGTACCATTTCTTATGCTGTTCCAAAATAATATTATTACTCCCTTTAAGAGATGGTATAAGGGAGTTTTGTAAGTAATGGGAATTTTTGTGTTGGTTTTTTGGAGTGAAGAGATTGTTAACTTAGTGCCCCTATTTACTGTAAAGGTTTGTGGGAATTTTTAGTGTAACTTTTGCTACACCTTGTCATGGTAAGACAACTGTCTGACAGAAACATTTTGGTTTTCACTTCTGTGCCACATCCTGGGTTGATTGCATTGTTTTTCTTAACAGGTCTGTAAATGAGGTATTATGTAGTTTGCATCTCACCCCACCCACCCCACCCCTGCATGCATGTGACAGTGTTCTTTATACTGATGAACATGTACTGTTTTGTTTTCTTTCAGCTGTGGAATGTAACAACACCATCAAGTAGTAGTACCTGTGACAAAGAAAAGGTACCATTTCTTATCAGTCAGCGCATCAACAGATCAGTTGCACATTAACCCTTTAAGTCCCAATGGTGACCAACATCAATTTTCTCCTAACTATATCCATAGATTGTCCAGAGATTAGGTTATAAGAATTAATAAATTGATCACCTAAGAGAAAATCTTTGATCTTTTATCAAATTCTCTTAACACATTCTTTAGGAAATGTATAAAAATCAGTTTGGAGAATTTTTATGTGGATATTAGGGCGTAAAGGGTTAACAGCATTGCTAATGAGACAATTTTGGATCTTGTGGCCCAGTTGTCTCAGGTTGTGTTGTTTGATAGTCATGAAACTTTGCTCCCTTGTTCTTCTTCTTCAGGACTGGGTTGTTCAAACACTGGATAGTATAGTGCTATCCACTGAATAAATCACTATCCAGTGGATTATAAGTACAGTAGAGTCCCATTAATACAGTCACCTCAAAAGGTTGAGTTTGATCGTCCGGGTGAACGTAGTCCTGAATAGGACTGTTGTTGTTGACAGTGACTGACGTTTCGACAACCTGTGCGGTAGTCATCTTCAGAGTCAAAGTGAGTTGTATCACGTCAGTTGATGGTATTATACTCTGGTTATTGATCTGATTGGTCAATTATGTTGCGATGTTATTGGTCGTCTTTCAGTTAAGCCGTGATGTTATTGGCTATGAAGACTCGTAATCGGTGATTGGTGTGTTTCGATCCGTCTATTGTCACAGTTAAACAGTTGTCTATTGTTAGTCAAATTGTCAGTTCTCCAGTTGGTCTTTCGTAGTTAGTTTTGCTTGATCTCGTCAATAAGTCATTTGTACGGTGCTGGTAACTGTTGGCTACGATTCAGTGGCGTTTACAGTCACCATTGGGTAAAAAAATTGGCTGTATTAATGGGTGGCTGTATTATTGGGGCAGGCTCAAATTTCATGACTTGAGGGCTGTAATGGCATACACTGCACATCACATTCACATTTCTTGAACAACTTACTGTTCTCTTTAATAATCAACCGGAATGTAGATGTTGCATACAGTAATTGGAAAAACTACGTAAAATCTTCTTTCAGTACCGGTATATATAAAACACTTTTAAAATTCACCTATAAAATCCCGACAAGTGCCCTTTATGACGAGTACTGTAGTCTAAAAACAGTACAAGAACAGGCTCAGCGTACTAGGTAAAAAAAACTGACATGTCACAGGGATTTTAATTTTCTGAATTTCGAACGAGTGGCCATATAAATGGAGTGAAATTATAAGAGATTCTACTGTTTGGGATTTTAAAATGTGGCTGTTGGCTGTATTACCTTGTGACCGTATGAATGGGTGGTTTTTTATAAGGAAATGTATGGCTGTTTTGCTAGGTGAAAAAAAGTAGGCATAATAACAAGGTGACCATATTACCGAGGTGGCCGTAAGGTGGGATTCCACTGTGGTAGGGAAAACAACTGCGTTATCCTCTAGATAGAGATTTTTCAGTGGAAAGTACTTTCCAGCTTTTGAACAACTGGGGCCAGGGGTCTGTTTCTTGAAAGTCCTGGTAACTTTTCGAGCCCGGAAAGCTGTTTTATGTTTGCCCAGTTTACATTCAATATAAAAGTTAGAATAATTTTGGAAATGATACATTAAAGCTATCAGTTAACAAAGCATAGACTGACTGGTTTGCGAGCTAGGAACTGTGCTACCATTCAACAAGTTTTGATTTTAAAATTTGCCCTCCGGCCCGAAAAGTTTCCAGGCCTTTCGAGGTATGGGAAGGGTTAAGTTTCTAGATCCCCTTGGGAGGTGGTTTGGTCTCCCCAGGGAGGGTTAGACAGGATGTAGCTCCCCCTCCTGCACAGTAGCAGTCCCTGCAAAGTGCACCCTCTCAGTACTGGCAGGAAAACATGTGGCAAAATTGACAACTCTCCAAATTGTGACCATTTTAGTCTTCAATGCAGCTACAAATTTGGTACTCCACTGGTGAATTCAGTGATTCCATAGAACTTCCCCAAGGTGACATACGCAGATGAAGTGATGTCAGTCTCCTATACAGCTAGCAATTAGCTGTCCATTTTGTTGTCATGCATAAATTCATTCCCATCAAAGTGTGTGTTTGGAGAGAATTGTTTCTTACAGGTGCAAAGAATGCCGTCTGTGTAAGAGACCATGAGGACTCTGGTTTACTTTTTTAATATCAGTCATTGGTTATAGATATTGCTTCATAAATTGAGTTCAATTGTATTTTTTATCATCAGGATGACCTTTGCAATAATTACATCATGGCGATGTTGCCATTTGAAGATCGAATTTACCTTTGCTGGACAGGAAAAGCGCCCTCTGCTGCCTGTTCTTGGCGAAATGTAGGTGTTGACCAACATCAATTTTCTCTTAACAAGTTCATTACATAATTTAGAGAGAAGTGTATGAGAACTAAGAACATCATTGCTGAGAAAAAAATGTTTGTATCTTTTAACAACAACAACAACAACAACAACAGTTTATTCAATTAGCAATTAATTTACAATTATGTTACCCACGATTAGCGGATCTATCCTAGGTGGGTAACCATACAGTAATATTGTCTCCTAGTAATAATTACAAAGTTCCAAAAATGGGAAAAATGAATTAGAACAAGATAGCACAATTAGAAATAATAAGTAAAGTTTGTGTATGGTTAAATAAAAACAAGTAAGATAGCTGAAGAAAACTATGAATATGAGGAAGGAGAGCACTTCAACTGAGTAAGGAGTTCAGGTTGGAAGTGATAATGACACTCATGAACAAATTCTTAGAACTTCTTTAAGGAACTGCACGGAGATCAGTGTGGAAAATTTGGTGTGGATATTGGGGCAGAAGGGGGTTTACGTCAGGAACCCTGTGGCACTGCCACATTGAAAGCAAGTTGGGGGGGGGAGATAGGGTTAGCGAAAAAGGAAAAGGAAAGAAGTCAAAGAAAGAGTTATCAGAAAGGAGACACTAGTTTGTCACAATCCTGTGAGATTGGCAAGAGAGTGGTTACTGTATTTAATATTGAAAAAGTGCCATGTGGCTTTCACTCCTTAATTGCAGTGCTTATTCATGGGCGGCCTTTATTTGAAAATTGGATGCAACAAAAAATTGTTTCCCTTTAAGTTACCGGTATTATTTTCAGTAACTAGCCGAAACGTCTTTTGATTTTGATTGCATCAGGGCTGTGCTTCTAATTTGTGGGGTGGCGCTTTTATACTTTTTTTTGTTCCAACTGCGGGTGTTATTCTAGGGCAAGGTTTAATCGGGCGTGGCGCTTGTTCAAGTAAATAGGTGAACACTTCTGTTATGGTGTTTGTATCTATCTCTTCAGAGAACAAACTTGAGTGCGGCTCCTGGTAACGACAGCCTAGGAAATGTCTTTAAATCTGATGCAAAAGACTCTGTGCCCAGGATCAGCCCTGATCAAAATGACACAGCTGTTATTACAGGTAGGTGAAGTTTTAGAAAAATGGACATTGCTTTGTCTAGTTTCAAGATAAAGCTCGTGAAAGGACTGGCTCCCCCTTCCCCCAAAAAGCAATGTTGAAGTCAACTGGATCATTTCTGATCCCGACTGAATAGGCATGGAATAGGATTTCTGTGGGTAAGAAAGTGTGCACATTGTAGCTAAGAAACAAAATTCTTGACACGTTTTGTCCAAGATTGTAGAAATGATTTCCTGTTGGAATGCCGAGGAAGGAAGTTTTCGAAATGTTTTAATGACATTATTTTTTAAAAAATCTTTGAGAATTTGGATTGCTGCTAATTAAAGTCGATTTTAGTTTTGGAGGTGTTTTCGCGTAGTTTCACAGTAAAAATAAAACCTTTTAAATGCATGACTCTATCTTCTAGACGTTTTTGGATTCTGATTTGTTCTTCACTATAAATTATGGAACCCATTCTTTTCGAGTAAAAACGGTTGGAGAACCGTAACGAGAACTTCATAAAGCAACCCTGCTTGCTCTAAAAAAATTCCAAAAATATAGCAATAATAATAACAACAAAATGGTATAATGATGATTTTTTTATACAGAGCGAGGAATCCTCTTCACTGGCACCATTAACCCAAACACAGGAAAGTCAATGATTTACAGCAGGAGTTTCAATCCCACGCTGAACCCAACGTACAGCCGTATAAGCCAGGGTTGGTTTTACAGTGGTGAGTATGTCTTAACATCCAGGCCTCAGTTGTTTGAGAGCTGGATATAGCATAGTCTGCTACACAGCCGTTTTTAGAGTCGTCACGCAACGCTCCTCCCCACTTTGTGGGGAGGAGCGTTGCGTGACGACACTAAAAACGGCTGTGTAGCAGACTAGATATAGCACTACCCGTCGCGTTAATCTCAGTCCAATGGATGTGTGTTAGGGAAACCAGTTTTGTTATCCACTGGATAGAGATTTATCCTGTGGATAGCGCTATTAGAGACCTTTAGATTCTAAGACGAGTACGACTACGAGTACGAGATTTTCTCAACACTAAGTAGTGCACGCGCGTGAACCAGCGTCATTTTGGCGGGAAAACGCGGCAGCCGTCGTCATTCTACTACGAGTTTTAGCGCAAATGTCGTGTTGGCGAAAACAAGTTGTCAAATGTTAGAAGTTTTATCATTTTGCGATGGGGAAAGCGCGTAACCTCCTTCACTAAAGGTAACAGTGCTAACTTTTCTAGTGAAAAACGGTAAAATGAAGCTTTTCGGGAAGTCTATATTTTGAGAATACGCGAAAAAACTTCAAGTCAATTCTCGTACTCGTAGTCGTTCTCGTCCTCGAATCTAAAGGTCTCTATTCACCTTTTGAACATCTGGGGCCTGGGTTCATTTGTTGATGGTGATATAGAACCGTTTTCCTAGGTAATGCAAAATGGTGAAATGGGGGACGAATTTTGGCCCACTTTCTTGTGTAACTTCTCAACCCTTTAAACTGTAGGATCAAAATTTGAATTCTCATTTGTTGCCCCTATTCATTTCCTACAGAAGTAGTGTGGAGAAGTTGATAAAATATCAAGCAAATTCATCTTGTGTGATCTTGTCCGTAATTCTCACTCTGTTTTACAAAGCATTGATATTACAAGGAGATCTTTCATGCTGATCACTCTCAGGGCTTAAAGGGTTAATCCAGGGCCCCGTCCACACGTATCCATTTAAGCGTTCTGTCCACGCGTAAAGGGCGTTTTCGAGCACCAAAAACGCAGGTTTTCGAAAACAGTTCCCAGAGTGGAGTTTTTTGAAAACGTCGGCTTGTCGTTTCCGTGTGAAGGGACTAAAACGGATTTTGGAATATGACGTCTGCGTGCCCTGTAAATTTCCATTTCTTGAGCGTTTTCGGGTCGACGAGCGTAAGCGGTTCAAATACGCTCCGTGCGGACGCGTATTTTTTCAAAAACGGAGCAAAAAGTCAGTGTTTTCAAAAATCTCCAGATACGTGTGGACGGAGCCGAAGAAGTGATAGCGTCTTTCAATCAGTCCCATAATGCACTTCGATACAAAACCGACCCAGTCCTCACTCCTTTGAGCGTAAATTGGCGAGTAGGCCGTTTGAGAGTTGTCCAAGCCTCTGTTTCAAAGCGAGGCTAAGTGCGAAGTCATATGAAAATTATTTGTTGTTCCCCTGCAAATAAAACTTATTTTCACAAGAAAGATTTTGCACTAAGCCTCGTTTTGAACATGAGAGATTCTGGAACTCAGAAGTGGCTTTCTTGTTTTAATCATATGTCTACAAACATGTATGGAAGTGAACCCTTTATTTTTCCAACAGATGTTCACTTTATAAAGAGCTTTGACATCGGCCTTTACGTCTATTTCTTCTTCCGTGAACGGTCATATGAATGCGCAAGCTGTGGAAGACAAGTCTTCTCTAGGGTGGCCCGAATTTGCAAGGTACAGTGGAAACCGTTTCGATACTAGTCTTTTCGATACGAACTTAAGCAGTGAAATTGGACGAAATTTCGTTCACTTCATGTATATTTTGCGCTTGAACAAGAAAAACCTCTCGGGTTAATATTCTTCGTTCTTTAAGCCAAGGACGTGAAACTATTTACACCTTGTATCGAGAAGTCTTACGTCGAAACGATCGTTAACCGGTACAACTGATCTTTGCTACTACAGTCAGCTCTCATAAGCGACCACATCGTGAGGTGATTTAATTGTAATCGCAAAAAGAGCTTGTCCTTTACGAGAATGGGACTCTGTTAAAACTTAGCGCCGGTGGCCGCATAAAGAAGCTTTTAGTGAAAATTTGGGCAAATGTGGTGTGTTGTCGCGGTCGTTGAGGAGAGGTATTCATTACAGAGCTTTACAATGTAGTGGCCCCGGTTACAGTAGATGCACTCACTGGCAGTGAGAGTATGATTGAAGTTTTAAAGGTAAACTATAATTTGTTGCTATTAATTTTTTTTCCTTCAGGGAGACTATGGTGGATACCACGGTCATCAACGAACTTTTGTGACATTTCAAAAGGCTAAATTAAGCTGTTCTGATGGAAAAGATTACTCAGTCAATTTCAACGAAATTCGTAAGTGGTAGAGAACTTTTTTCTCTCTGATTTTATGATTCTTCCGAGTGGCCCTAGTCTCTGTTTCAAAGCGAGGCTGAGTTCATTGATGTGCAAGTGTATTTGGAGGCAGCGTGGCCGAGTGGTCAGCGCGTTGGACTCGCAATCCGGCGGTCCTGGGTTCGAGTCCCGGTCTGGCGTCTCGCATCTCGAGTTCAAATCCTCAGCCACGCTTGTAAATAGCCAACTGGTTGCCTCCTACCAGTTGCGGTTTTTAATCCTGTTATGTTGTATTGAATTAGTTGTTTCTAAGTATTTGAATGGAGTGCCTGTAAACTAGCTGGATAAACTATTTTAATGCACTTTCCACCATAAATTATTTGTTTATTTTGATGCAAATAAAACTAATTTTCACAACAAAGGTTTTGTACTCAGCCTTGTTTTGAAAAAGAGAGTTTTGGAACTCGGTAATGGCCAATAGATTTGTCATATTTGGTGCTTGGGCTTTGAGATTAAAATTCCAACCATACAGCCTATTTTTATGTATTTGTTTTGCAGAGGATGTATGGTGGGATGAACCAACGGACGAGTTTCGTGCAATTTTTACCTCTCATCGGTAAGCATTTTATAGCGGCAATTCATTACTTACTAATAATCCCGGGTAATAATTTTTTTCTGTTTCTGGATGAGCGATGTCCAGTTGTTTCCCTTGAAAATCGTGTCGTTTCAATGTGTCGATTTTCGTCGTTAGCTCTCGACTTCTGGCTTGGTAAGGAATGCAGAAATGCAGGAATAAAATCGAGAAAGCATACCTTTAAAACTTCTTCAAGTTTTTCTCGTCCTTGACAGATGAGTCAATCTTCGAATCTGCTTGTGTTACTGGTAAAATCCTCCATGTTTAGTTATGTTTGGATAGGGATGCACGTACGAGCTAAAAGCTCTGGGGTGGCCCACGGGACTGATAAGGCAGGCAAATGCCCCACAATTGCCTGAGGGGTTGAGGGGGCGGTGGTGGCGGGAGGAATGGGCGGACCTGGAATAAAGTGATAGGTAAATTCAGTCGTGTGGGGTTTGCATGCCAGTGGCATGATGCCTCGCGGCCCACGCGTTAAATTTTTTTTCCCGCCTATTGGTCAGTTACTGTAGTTTACCTCTGCTGATTGTTTGCATGCTTATACTCTTGCGATCGGTTCCCTGTAACGGTGTGATAGCCATACAGTGCGAATATTTTACGGAGACGGAAAATTTTCCGAGCTTCGTGTATCTGCCTAGCACAGTGTTTATGTGAAGAAAAGAATCCTTTTTTAGATCCTTTTTGAGATAAGGCAGGATTTCCGCCGCTGTCCCCGGTCCGGGAGCGCGGGCTCATTTCCCGAATTGTGGCTGGTGATCTAACCATTACATCGCATCGGCCTAAACCCCTTTAGGGGAGACCTTTTAATGTTTACCTTACGTAGTATTCCTTAACGCGTCGGTTTCGTGCACTGAGTCCGTAGCAATTAGGGTAAAGCAGGGAATCGAAACGGTTAGCTTCTATTTAGGGTTAGGGTAGCGTGCGTAGCAGGCGTCGAAAGGGGTAGGGGGTAGGGCTAGGGTTAGGGTTGTTGTTATATAGCTTCAAATCAAACCTACTCTTGGCAGCAAATTGTCAGTCGCTTTTGGTATTGGTGGTGGACTTCAGACTCTAATCCCCGGGTTCGATTTTTACCCACAATGCTCTGAGAGAGACTTACTTTTTCACGAACATTTGCTGAGAGACTTGGAAACTTCATGTAATTGTTGGGTGGAAGCAATACCCGTTGTGTAAACTTCACAAGATCTCTCTTAAGGGTTTTAAGCCGATGCAGGGGCGGATCCAGGAATTTTTGATTGGGGAAGTGCAAACTTTGATTCAGAAAGGACTGTTGAACTTTATTGTAGTAAATTACTTCTGACAGAGACGACCACGGCTTTGTCAATCTTTGAACGCCGGTCGCCGTTGGCGCGAGAAATGCTGCTTTGCAATCAGAGGCGAACAGATCATAGGAGGGTGCCCAAAAACAATTGCATTTTATAATATCCCTAGAATTTAGTTTCGTGCCAAAATGCAACGCGCGTTTCATTAAAAAAATCACCCAATTAAAAAGGGATATACGATCCTGTCGATGTAATACTTTTTAGTCTCAAACAAGCATCAGGACCCTCCCCCTGGATCCACCACTTCGATGGAAGGTGATCAAAAAAGTGTTTTTTGTGTTGCTGCTGTCAAATGATTTTGTAGGTTAACGAATCATATCCAGCGGCTGAATTCCATGACTATACCGTCTTTTGCGTGTGGTAGCAAAGGGTTCATTTTGTGCCAAAATTACTGGGGTGCAATCAACTTCTGGGTGATTAATCTTTATTTTTCTCCTGTTTTCGTTTCCTTTTCACCTTAGTAACGGACCGCCAGCGTCAGCTGTTTGCGTTTACAGTTTGTCATCCATCAAGAAAATTTTTGTTGAGAGTAAATTCAAGTCATTCAGTAGCAACGGAGAAGGGACCACGGTTGACAACAACTACCCCGAGTACTTCCCTAACGTGAGTATTATGGAATCTGTTTTGTTCAAAGTGGGGAAGGGGAGGCGAGGATGGGGCTGGGAGGTATTTGGCTAGCCTCCGTAGCTGACGGATTAGCAGGAGTGCTGTAGATTGTTTGGCAGCGAAGCCGCGTGAAGATTGTGAGCCGCTTGCGAAAAAAGTCCTTTCTGGGAAACTGCCCAACTACCGCTCCCCCAAATCAACATTTTGCCTTAAACGAGTGCGGGAGCCTGGTAAATGTTAATGTTGGCGTAGGGGTCGCTTAGGGGAGGGGTAGGTTGGCAGTTTCCCAGATACCTAAATTGATCCCAGCTGTTACCTTTGCAGTGTAAAGTAAATCCACTCTACATCAACCAAGCTAGTCAACTACCTGTTCCCGATGGTATGATGGCAACACAGAAGATGACAATTAATGCTTATACAAGTCTTATGCATGATCCTTTGATGGCTGATCCAGTACAACCAACCAGCTCTCGCGCGTGGTTCATTAAGGATGGAATCAGGTTATTATATACAGTTGCATTGTTTATGGCAGATATGCTCATGTTCAGGTTCTCTTCTAGCCTGTCCCAGGCCCTCAGGCAGTTGGGATGTCGTAAAAACGCGCGTGTGGTCTGGGAATAGGGGTTGGTAGCTTCCCTTCTCCCCGTGCGCTGTTTTGCACTAGTTTGTGCGTGACAATTTTCTCGCGCGTCCGCGTGATTCTCTGGCTGAAGATGAAGAACAGAGCATTTCGTAATTAACATTCCTTTTTAATTAGGCTGAAAAAGATGTTGGTTTATTTAAGGATGTTGTTTTTCTAAGGTTTTGCGATGCTACTGTGACCGAATTCATTTTTAATTTTTTTCAAAGGATGACTGCTATTGCCGTAGAGAAAGTGGGTGCAAACAAGGTTGTATACACCTCAACAGGTAAAGTGCTGCTAGGTCAGCCCAGAGCGGTTTTATTAAGGTATTAATGTTTTAAGTTTTTAGTCTAATCCAAGTAAAGAGTTGAGTTATGCTTAACTATCTCAAGTGACGCCGAATTTCGTCTAAATTTGCTTTTTTGCATTGGCTGGACTTTGATTCAGTAGAAAAACATAACCCAGTAAAGTATTTTTTTTTTTTTTTGCCAAGTTTTCAAATTTGTCGTTTGTAATCCACGTGAAGCCCAGTTCATCTCTCTTGTCCAACACTATCCCGTAGTTACAAATATCTCTGATGGTAACTGCCAGATGTTCAGTTTTATGGACACAGCCAGTATAGCTTTAAGAAAACCGAGTTCTCCCAATAGGAGCCGCCGAACCCAAGCCAGACCTTCTGCTTACTAGTCCAGATGCTCTACCGCTGAGCTAGAAGAGACTCGTGAAAGGTGACAGAGGCTATCAATTAAACTAAGCTTTTTTTATTCTTTCTGTTTTCTCAAACTTTTATCTTAAGATTTTTGTACTTTCCAAGGCAGTGCCTCTAAGAAACTCACAACTTGAGGTGTGGGGTTTTTGAGGCGTGTGGGGTTTTCCGTTTGAGTTTTGTTGGGCGTAAATCAGATCGGGGAACTGTACTGAAAATTTCACAACCGGCCTTGATGTCTTTCACCGAAATCTCCTCGTTTTGTAAAGTTTTGTTGTGATGTAGACCTCCACTCTTTAAGTTTTTAAAATTATGTTAATAATCGGGGTCTTAAAAACTGTATCAGGAAAAAAATTTTTCACAACCTGAGGGAAACAAATGCAACCATTAGCGTCCCTTTTGTTCTTCTCACCGAAATGGATGCCTTCCCCGAATCTAAAAGTTTTTCTTTATAAATCTTTATATTTTTAGATTTTTAAACAGTTAATTTATTGGATTAATTTAATGAATTTGCTACGGTGACTCAACACGGTGACAGGGGATGAAACAGGACTTACGTCCCAATTGATATCAACCTCTTCATTAGCCACCCAGCCCATGAAAGGTTGTACCACACGTTACTGGGGTCTTAAACTCTTTATCCGTACTCTTTACGAACAGCACTGTGGGTTCCTGTACGTCCCACAAGAGTCAGGACAGTGAAAGAGCTGTGAGACGGGGCGTAAGGTTTTTCGTCCTTACCCATCTAACCACTTGTAGATGTCATAACAAAGGCAGCGCATTCTCCTTAGTTATTTTTAGACTCTGAGTGTTTGAACTGGAGCGCTTACCACTTGTATGGAAAACTCGGAAATTCCGGGGAGAATTCAAATAGAGCGGTTCATCCCGGTGGAAAGTTTCCGAAAAAAAAGTAATGGCTTTCGAGGTATTACCGTTGTCCCGTTTTTACCGAAACGACCGAAATTTTTGGTACCATTTGTTTGGATTAGTAGGCTTCATGTCGAGAGAAAGCGAAAAATTGACCGGTATTTTGTAAATAGTACAATTCAATCCCGTTCCTGTTTTCGGTGCCAAATGTTTCACCGAAATTTCCGTACAAATGGTAACTGCTCCTGGTGTCTGGGGTTTGAACTCGCGATCTCTCGCTCGACAGACCGGCGCTTATCCAATTGAGCTACGGATACAATGCCCAATTTTATCTCAGAGACGTTAAATTTTTCTGAACGATACTTTTATCAGCAGAAGACTAATCTGGTACCCAGATCTCGTCGGCTTCGTCGACAAGGGATCTGGGTACGAGACCATGAGAAGAAGGGAATGTCGTGAGAAGATGAAGTCAATACGTCTGACGTTTTCCTGTTTTATGCAGGACTAAAATTGTTGGGGACTCCATGTCTACAGTTCCTTACTTTCATGTGAGATCGTCGTGTTCGAGCTCTTACTATAAATGAGGCCGGGTCATCTTAGTATCTATCGTTCCGAGGAGTTGGACGTTAGGGAGTATAGTGTCAGGAATGGGGGACGCGGGGGGGGGGCAATATTTCCTCCCTTTGTTTCCGCGCCCCTCTCTCGACGCTATACACTCTAACACCCTCTCCCTTGTTACCTCTAAAACCGAGACGGCCGCTTGTTCTTGACAATGTAACGGGAAAACTGAGGGCTATAAATAGTCTTATAAAATCATCTCGAGAAAGCATTCACGCCCCTTCCTGGGGTAAAACAGCCACTGTATAAGAAGAAATAGTGATAGTGTAAGAAATTTTGCTTATTTTTGCTTAACGAACTATTTCTCCTTGTTTACACTCGCTGTTAACACCTAACATCAAAATGTGTTCTGAGCAAGTGTTGCCAAGTAGTAATAATTTTTTTGTTTTTCAGGTTGGCAAGAAGGAAATAATAAGAAGTATGGCACTTGATACGAAAAGGGTAGGTTCAATACAGTTATAGTTCACTTTTCATCATTTCAATGGGACATACCATGTGTGTACCTCATTAACGCAGTCATTCTAAACAAAACTGGATTAACGATTTCTTTAGATATGAATACCTTTTTTGTGTGGCTTTTCATGTTAATGTCCGAGTCAAATGGTGGATTAAAATGTAATGACCAAAACAGGCAAAATATTCGTTAACTTCACAAGAAAAATGCAAAAATCGTTACAAATAGGCTTCTTGTCCTTGTGATGAATGTCCTTTCGTAAATAACGTCCTTCCTACTCGTCGGTACAAAGATTTCATCTGCAAAAAGGAGTTAATTTCCTTGTTGTTTGAGTTAACTGCTCCACAGGAAGACGAAAAGATTTTTCCATTTCAATAAGACTTACAACATTATTTTAAAGTTTAAATAACCTCGAAAAGTTATTTTTTTTAGTCTAATATTTAAACTCCACCTCCAGGTTATAGAAATTCTTTAGTTCGAAATCGCTGACTCTGTATGGAAGTTTTAAGTTGAAGTATTTGACTGTTCTTCGTTTAGTTTGAAGGAATTTTTGTGGTTTTAATTTTCAGCATACTCTTTACCTGGGATCAAGCACAAGACTTGCAAAGTTGAGCTTAGAGCAGTGCAGCAGCTATTTGAATAACGGGTGTGTATAACTTTGAAATTGCCATCTTTAAGCCGCGGTGATGCTTTGCTCTTATCTGATGTGTGTTTATTTTGTGCAGCTCTTGTATTTCTGCTGCCGATGCTTACTGCGGATGGGACAACAAAACAAAAAGCTGCGTGTCGGTTCTTTCCCATGGGTAAGTTTTCCATTGTTCGTCAGTCTAACGTTTGAGTCTTTGAACGAAATCCTACGCTATGAACATTCGAATGAAACCTCTTCAGCAGATCTTTCACATGGTACTATTTATGTAGTTTGTAGTTCTAACTTTTGAGTCTGTGGATGAAATCCTATGGTGTGTCACCATTCAAATGAAGCTCTCTTTTAGTAAAAGCTATATATTTCTTAAGATTTACAAAAATGCTTTTGACTTTTTTGGTGACGTTCTTCTTTGACCACAGTAGGAGTAATAGTTTTAACCTCGGCAACCAATCGAACAATGAATGGCATTTTGAACTAATTGGCTGAAACGGTTCGAGACTGAGAATTAGAAATAACAACTGTTTTTTAATGACTCACTTCTTGTCTCTTTTTAGAGAACCCAGTAAATTAAAGCAAGACCTGAACAGTTGTCCAAAGGCCCAAGGTTTGTGGTTTGTTTCATCGACCTTTCGTTTATCATCGACTTTGTGGTTATTACTATTATTTTTTATGAATAACAATATATTTTAATTATATTGATATTGGCGAATCAGTTAAAATTAAAGAGAAACTTTATAACATTGTAAGGCTAATAACAGAACAAAGAATTACTTCTGATGTGAAAATTGAAGTGCTCGAGATGAGGTAACTAAAACCTGAAGCGTGTCCATTTGACTGAAAGCAACTGAGCTGCAGTACTTTCCTCGTGTGGTCAGGCTGTTTATAATAATGTATAAGGTATTTTTAACTTTTGAGTCTGTGGAAGAAATCCTGCCGAGTGTTACCATTCAAATAGAAGCTACTGAGCAGCACTTTCCTGTGTGTTTATTATTCTGTACAAGGCGTTTTTACCTTTTGATTCTGTAAAAGGAAGGAACCATAAAATGAGACCATTCAAATGTTGTAGCACTTTGCTGTGGTACTGCTTGCTTTGTTGAGCGTAGTGGTTCTAACGTTTGCGTTTGTAGACAAGGAGACCCACTTGCCAACTCGCTCAACACCTTCGTTTTGAGCGGTCGCTTACTGCTTAACAAGTTCGTCTAAAAGTCTTGGTAAAAAAACCCTTTCTTTGTGTTTTATTAGGGAGCTTAAGCAACAACGACGGCGACGGCCACGAAAACGTCACTTAAAAAGTGAAGTTGCGCTGCTTCAAACTTTGTTGCGCTTATTACCTCGGGTTCGATTCAGTTCTCCAAATGTTGGCAGTTTTTTTTTTCGGGAGTTGAATAGTGTAAAAGACTGAATCGAAGTTAACCCTTTAAGCCCCTGTATCCACATAGAAATTCTCCAAACTGATCTCCATACATTTCCTTAAAGAATTCTTTGTGAGAATTTGATAACAGATCAAGGCATTTTCTCTTGGATGATCATTTTATTAATTCTCATAACTTATCTCTTGACATTGTATGGATTTTGTTAAGAGAAAATTGATCTTTGTCACTATTGGGACTTAAAGGGTTAAGGAAAAGAAAAAGAAAGTCGTTGTCATGTGTTCACGTCCTTCACAGAACGTGAAATTAGGTATTTTCACGTCGTAGTCGTGCAGTGACGGCAAAGAAATGTACAAAAAAGCATGATGCACCTGCAAAGTTGTTGTTTTGCTTATTAAACCTACGCATTTTTGCCGTCGTCGTGGTTTAAGCTCCCTATTAACTCTTTTCTCCCACAGGACCTCTCAGTTTATGAGAAAGTAAACTATCAGTTAACTCAGTTTTCCTTGTGCCGTTGTAGGTGTGAGCTGGTCACCGTGGAAAAACTGTCTGCAGAATGATGGGAACCTCTGTCGGTGCCAAGTGCGGCCCTGCTTGCAAGACACAAACAGCCATTGTGAAGGAGGTTTGGAGTATCGTTTGGAAAATTGTACAGGTGATTAAGAAATCACACTCAAACCTACTGACCTAAATGTGGATTGTAAGAATGTAATACATTACTATATTCTAGAAATTAATCAAAAGAGTGCATTTGATTTGGTTTGATGAAAGGTTCAGCTTGCGCTTTAAATTCACATTTTTTCGAGTTTTAACGCGTCTTTCAGTTTTGAACCTCCCAAGAAAACGAGTGACCTCTTCTAAACCTCTTCTAAATCTACACTTTCATGGTTTGCAGGGATCCCTATCTTTCGATTGGGTGCAGATTGCCCCCAAGAAAAAAATGTCTGGGTTCTGGTTTTGCATTTTTTTTCTTGGGGGGAAGGGGGTGGGGGCGGGGGAAGGTGGTACAGCCTCATAAATTTAACGTTTTCTAAGGAGTTCAATGCAATCGGCTTATGATATTTTTTGATTTTTTAGGGACGGTTTACAACGATACTCTTTATTTTCTCGGGTATTCAAACAAGACAGTTATTAACTTGGCTATGATTTTGCGTGATATCTGAAGAGAAAGAACAGAAACAATAGAAAACAAAGTAGAAAACGAAAAACGACAAAAGAAAGTATGTCGGAAGGTGTTAACATTACAACCGCTGTTTTGATTTGCTCCAACTTTCGTTAAGTGATCTCCCTATCCGGGCTATTTAATAATTATGTTGCAAAGAAAAAATGTTACAATATTTGCCACTCAAAATCGATTGTCGAGAGCAAGAGTCTTCCTCTTTCCAATTTAGGTTTTCTGTACTGATCGATTCTTCTTACAAGCAAAATCGCAGTGAAGGGTACAAAATATTCTACTGGGTTTTTAAGACGTCGTTAACAAACGATATGTTGCCATTGTAGTTAATATCAGTGTTGGATGGGAGGGAGTGGAATCATGGGAAGCACTAGGAGTTCAACATGGCAACTGGAGTGTGTGGGGAAACTGGAGCGAGTGCTCTGCTAAGGCCTGGGCTGGAGTGAGGAATAGATCAAGAACCTGTACAAACCCAGTCCCCAGGAGGGGAGGGAGGACGTGCCTGGGCGACTCCGTGCAATACGAACCTTGTAGTCTTGGACTTGAAGGTAAGGATATACTCTACATATTTCACCTTGCAGAGTTTGGATACGTATGTTATATCAAAGAATGTAAAGGAAGTTAAGTGTACGAGTGACTTTGTTATCTTCTTGCTCTCTATTGCATTACACCATTATTTCCTTGATATGCGTTACTGTCCCGAAGTGCTAGGTCAAGGTGGCTGGAGGTTCCAGGAAAGGCTTCTGGGATCGTAACTGGGGCAGGCTATTGAGCTATTGGCCAATTTGTTTTACCTGTCTCCAGAGTAACAGTCTCAGTTTCCCTCTCGTTTTTATAGTGGCGAATGTGAGTTGCTCGCTCTGGGTTATCGGCTCCTGGTCATCTTGACTAAACGAGTTTGGTCAATAAGTATCTATTTTATGGCTAAGGAAACACTTTTCTTGCGAGATCAGGGTGTGAAATCCCAGGGGGAGGGGGAGAGGGGGTAGAAAGTCCCATCTTGCCTGCTTGGGTAGCTAATTATAACAAATGATTTGCTTTACATTCCCAGCCTGCTAAACCGGCCTTATAATACGCCTATATGCTTGGTATCATGTGCACCCTAGCTAAGACCAAAAACTGAGCCTAAAACGTGTCGAATTGTCCCGCCCTTGCCTATTTCCTGTTCGGCGTCTTTCCAGGCCTTCTAGATCAATGCACTTTGGTGACGTTTCCGAGACGAAGAGGCAGAAGACTCTTTCGGACCACGTGACCCGAAGCGCAATAATGAGTCTCGTCGTGCAAGTACACTTAACCACAGGCAAAAAAACTAGCCTGATGTCGGACAGTACCGTTAATTTTCTTTTTCATATTTTTATTTATAATTTCAGAGGTGGAAAAAAGACTCAGCACAAATTTAACAAAAGAGCTGAATCCAAAAGTGAACATGGCTGTTCGCTTTCATGTTAAATGCAGAGCTAAAGGTTACAAATTAACTGCTGTCAGTGCTGAGGTGACCAACGAGACGATTGACTGCCAGAAGGAGCCACAGACTTGCGGAGGTAAGAAGATATTCTAGGTCAATCAAAGTTTCTGAATACAGACATATGCAGACGTACAATATAATACAATATATGCAATCAAAGGGTCAGAACCAACAACAACGACAACACCAAAAGCTTTATTTGCATGACTATAAAGGAATTACAGTATTGCAAAAGCTATTAGTCTATTAGTCTATTAGTCTATTAGAACCAGTGGACTTGGGAGATGGGTCGCCTGTGGTGCAGGTGTAGTTTGCAGGCAAGTGAGCGCTAACGCAATTTCGAGCGTGTAATCTCAGTGGAAGACTTAGGAGAGTGAAAATGTTGGAGATGAGAGCTTCTCTCCTGTCATATAACACTTTTCAAATCACATCGTGTGAAATCACGTTACACAAGTTGCATTGTGTGAAATCACGTTACACAAATTACATCGTGTGAATTCATGCTACCTCAATTGCATCGTATGAAATCAAGTTACACAAATCACATCTTGTAAAATGACGATACAGAAATCAGTTCGCGTGAAATCACCTCACACAAATCACATTGTGTAAGATCACGCACGTGTCTAAATCACATACAGTGGAACCTCGATTTAACGAACCTCTATACAACGAAGTTTTCGGTATAACGAACGATTTTCTTCAGCCCGGCCAAAATTATATTAAAATGTATGGAAGACAACCTCGATTTAACGAACCTCCATTTAACGAAATCCTCGTTATAACGAACAAAATCCACAAGCCCAAACGTAAAATTTGCCTCGATATAACGAATAAATGTCACCATGCGATAAAAGATAAATGCCAAACAGACCAACAACGATAAAATTTATGTGTACAACAGTTTTAAGCAATTTTGTTTGCCTGTTCTTGAGTTTCTAGTGCCGTAGCTATGCATAGCTCGGTACTGAAGTGTTATTACAGTAATTTTTCAGATCCAGAAATAATGGGGTTTTGTAAATTAATTATTAACTATACCTCGATATAACGGACATTTTGGTAGTTTTCCCGAAAATTCGTTAAATGGAGGTGTTCGATATAACGAACCCTCGATTTAACGAGCAAATTTCCCTTGACCCTCTGCACTTCGTTAAATCGAGGTTCCACTGTAGTGTGAAGTCACGTTACTTTTAATTAGTTACGTTCGGTGAAATCACGTCAAACAAATTGCATTGCGTCGCATGACATAACATTACATGACATGTCCTGAGATGCAACCACATCTCATGCATGACATCGTTAATTTAGCCAGCAGGATATTTTTCTTACACGAAATTTGTATTAAATTCTTCATGCTGCCATTTCTCAGTGTGCTTATCAAAATCCTGTTTTTCTCTAACTTCTTGTAGATGGAGAGTGGAATCCCTGGGGTGAGTGGACTCCGTGTACTGTTGAGGGATTTCAAATAAGACGAAGAAATTGCAAACGAGAGCCTTGCGTTGGAGAGTCACTGCAGGAGCAGAGCTGTTCACCACCACCCACGAAGTGCGAAGGTAAGCTCCTCTAGTGATTAGTATTTAGGAGCGGTGGTTGTCAAGCAAAGATTTGACCCTTTCAAGGCCGAAAAATGGTATTTTTTCAAAATAGTCTTATGTCATTTACTAAAATGCTGAGAAACCAGTGGCACCATATAAGATTACTGTTAAGAGGTTTTATCTGAATGGTCACACCATAGGATTTCACCCACAGACTCAAAAGTTAGAACAACATACTAAATAAATAGTACCATGTGAAAGATCTGCTGAAGAGGTTTCATCTGAATGGTCACACCATAGGATTTCATCCATAAACTCAAAAGTAAGAACTACAAACTAAATGAATAGTGCCTTGTGAAAGATCTGCTGAAGAGGTTTTATTTGAATGGTAACACCATGGGATTTCATCCACAGACTCAAAAGTTCGAACTACATACTAAATAAATAGTACCATGTGAAAGATATGCTGAAGAGGTTTTATTTGAATGGTAACACCATAGGATTTCATCCACAGACTCAAAAGTTAGAACTTGGTACTAAATAAATAGCACCTTGTGAAAGTAATGCGTACTATGGCATACTATATTAAACAGTACCAGACGACCGCTGGGCCCAATAGCTTCATTAAAATGGTCACAAGACAGGATTTGGTCCACAGTCTTGCAAGTTAGAATCTGCTAAGGTGTATTCATAATTTGATCCTGATTAAATTATTGAAGAGTTATGAGACTGGTGTTCCTGTGATCCTGAAAGAATGAATGCTATTGGTACCAATAGTGTTCCTGGTGTGACTGGGCCTCAAACCATTGTTTCGATTTCTCTCCTTTACGTGTAGCTTTAAAACACGTTAAATATCCGTAAAACGGAGCATTGACGGAAAGAGGGGGTAGAATGAGCGCACCGTCGGTGTCTGGTCTTTGCGTCTAATATAAAGTACCGTCCCGAGTTTAACCAGGGACCTTTTTGAGCGACGCACGACAACCGCGGAAGTGGACTTTTTGCAGTCTTGGGCAGTGCTTTTGCCCAATTTTTGATCAAAATGTCTCTATAAGAGCAAAGACACTTAGCAATTTAAATGTGGTAGGGAAAAGGCCTTACTTCTGGTTGACGTTCGTGGTTCAAAGGAAGTCTTTCTTAAAAGCTCCCTATCGACCTTTTTTTACTCTTTTCTAAAATATGCTGATTTGTAAACGGGTCAAGTCCTCGCTGGAACTTGTCAATATATATGTTGTGGTTCAATTTTATCCATGGTTTAAGTTTTATTTTCCTTTAATGAGTTTGAAACAAAGGAAAATTAAATTAAAACCAAGGATAAAATTGAACCACAACATACACATAAAATATGAAACTGAAAATATGTTTTGAGTGCGTTTTCATCGGTCTTAGCGAACTCGACGTATAAAACAAGACATTTTCTGACTGGATTTGATTTTCTCCAGATGATTCTTGGGACGAGTGGTCAAAATGCGTTTGCGATCACAAGTTACCCGACATCGAAACTGGTTTACGATACCGAGTCCTTAAGTGTTGCAGACTGTGTCCTAACCAAACTTCATGCTGTCATACTGTTGAGTTTGGTGATTGTAGCTGTAAAACTACCAGTAAGTGAAGTGAAGGCATTTATCCCTTTAAACCCTAAGATCAAAATTTGAATTCTCATTTGTTGCCCCATTCATTTCCTACAGAAGTAGTGGGGAGAAGTTGATATAATATCAGGCAAATTCATCTTTTGTGATCATGTCCGTAATTCTCATGACCACTCTGTTTTACAAAGCATTGATATCACAAGGAGAATTTTGATGCTGATCACTCTCAGGGCTTAAAGGGTTAATGGAATTTTAGGCTATGGTCACACGGCATCGGACCAATTTTCGGCCGGCTGAAGAATTTGACCCTACACTTCTTTCATACGAAACAAAACCAGCCTTGAATTTCAACATATGACAGAGGTCACACGCGATAAATCTAATTGATACTTCAAGAAATTCCCCCCACACTTCTATAGAAGTCAACAAATGCGAATCTGAATATTGATGCTACGGTTTAAAGGGTTAAAGTATTTTTTTTGTGTGTCTAACAGGTGTTGTGGGGAGGCGAACTGCTCCAAATGTACTTGAGAAATCTAACTTTGGATTAGGACACGTGATCGGAGCGGCTGTTATCGGCTGCGTTTTCACCATCACTCTGTGCGTGGCAGCGATTTGCTTCGTGAATCGCAGGAAAAAACAGTTTGATGTCTCAAAAATGGGCGATAACAGCCTAAATGAAACAGGCAACGACAGCAGATACTCAACTTTACCCGCACGAGAGAACGTAGAACTACTTAAGAATTCAGGGACGCCCGGAATTAAAGACAAAAACAGAAACTCAAGTAAGAAGACTCCTTCCCCGCTGAAAATAATGTTTGAGAAGCGGAAGAAACGGTACCCCGTAAATAGTTATCGGGAAGAAGAAGTATAGCCTTGAGGAAGGGAAGAATGGGGATGCCATGTCCGTGTGTCACCTGGTGAGTGTATAAAGTCACGTGATGGAGCAATGCCAATGCTTATCTTGTAAAGGCTACTGGTAATGTAAATATTTGCGCCGCAATAGAGTGGCTAGGGAGTGGATTCTCTGAATTTTAACTGCAAGAATTATATAGATAAGTGGGAGGATAGTTGCTAACTGAAATCATAAGCTAACGTCAGTTGGTAGTCGCCCCATGTAATGTAAAGGAATCCAAGACAGTCTTGGATTCTGGATTCCACGCCGCGGTTTCCGGATTCCAGGTACTGAATTGCAGATTCTTTGTCAGTGGAACTTGATTCCGGATTTTAAGCCGTAATCGGATTCAAGATTCATTGAGCTGTACTCCAGATTGCAAAACCCAAAATCCGGATTCAACAAGCCAAAATTTCGCGGGTTCTATTACTTGGGGCGATGGTAGCTTTCTGCTCTGAACATTAACGCGTAACCATCAAGAAGAATTAAGAAAATGTATTGGAAACCTAGGTGGGAAACATTTACGAAAGAGTAGTCTGCAGCGTTGCTAGTTTACAAGCGTCTAAAAATGAATCTAATCCTCCGTGTGAGTGGTCGTCTAGGAGACAAGAGCGACATTCATTCATAGCTGAGCTGAAGGTCTTCTGCGACATAGTCGCTTTGCCTCTTGGACCCCACTTTAAAAAGGAACTTCTAGTGTACTCTAGGACTTAACAAAAGTTGCGTAGGCCTCAGATGTAACGCGACCCCAAAATAACATTGCTTTTAAGCTCTCCTGGAGCTCCCGGTGGTACAGGGGTGGGGAGGGAGAGCTCCCGGTGGTACAGAGGTGAAGAAGGGAGGGAGAGCTCCCGGTGGTACTGGGGTGGGGGAGGGAGAGCTCCCCGTGGTACAGGAGTGGAGAAGGGAGAGCTCCCGGTGGTACAGGGGGGGAGAGCTCCCGGTGGTACAGGGTGTGGTTGGGTGAGTTCCCGGTGGTACAGGGGTGAGGAAGTGAAGAGAGGAAGTAGAGCGCCCCGGGAGAGCTTGCTCGCCGGCTAGTACCTCTTCAACTATTACAGACCGCTTGAAATACTGCTTGTTAGCGCTGTTAGAGGTTTTATGGGTCTTAAGGTGTTATTTTGTCCTATATCCTTCCTAAAATAAACCTTTTTGATCTCAGGGGTAGTAATTGATGTGTCTCGGTTTCACACCAAAAACGCTGCTCTAATGATTCGCAAGCTCAGTTGTAGGGAGAAAATATATTCGTTTTGGTTTTGTTAAAGGGGCTATGTCACGAAGATATTGCTATTTTACGTCAATTCTTAGCTTAATTTCATTAAAACATAAACATAATGCCCCTAAAGAAGAATCAAACAAGGAAGGACTAACCATAATATTTTTGCACTCATAGCGTTAAAAATTACCCAGTTTTATCTCAAGTTTCAATCCAAATCCATCTTTGTCATCGGTAGCGACAGACGACAGGAAACAGTATCAATGCATAAATAAGGTTTCAAACAACAAAACTGGACCATTGGTTTTATAATTCAAATGATGTGAAGACATGTTTTAAAAGGTAGCAAACAGCGTGGCATTGCCCCTTTAAGTTTCGTTTTGTTTTAGTTAGCTTCTAACTTGCGTTGATATTTATTCAAGTATTTATTATGTACATAAGTACGTTAGTTCTTTTTTACAGAGAAAGCACAACTTTCTCAATTAATTTCGCCATATGTAAGAATAGTATATATGACGACAAATGGTTTATATTCCATAGGACAGATATAAAGTTTTTAACTTTTAACGTAAGGGATCAGATTGTATAGGAGTATATTTTAATTGGTTGATTTGACGTCTCTTTTATAAAGATGTAACTGTAATGTCAATTTTGTAGGCAGTTTTGTAAGAAAAAAATGTCGGGGAGACAAAGAAACTTAATGCTTAGTGTTGATTGTAGAGATTTCCAGATAATGAAGTCCTAAATTTTGAGTTTGTCAATCTCAGCTTAACAGTGTGGCAATGCTTTCTAGTTAGTAAAAAGAAAAATCTTAGGAATTATAATTTTCAGACAGTAAGATTAAAAAATGATTTACGCATTGACACGAAATAATAACTCTCTCGAATAAGCGCCGCTCTTAGTTGCAAAATCTTACCGGTAGTGTTGATCTTAATTTTTATTGCTGGAATGCTGACCTGGCTCATATTATTTTTGCTGAAATTTTATCTACCAGGTGTGGTATTACTGTTATTACGTTATCTCCTTGTTTTCTTCATGTTTTTTGGACAAGACAATTCGGGAAACTAAATTAGCGCGGCGACGCTCTTTTGGAGTGTATATGGTAGTCACTTGGGGTCGAGGCATTCTCGTCCCCAGAGCCCTTCGGCTTAATTTGTAACCGACATGTCAGAATGGGTTGGAGGTCAAATCAGGTTGTTGTTTTTAGGCTTACGCATGCGGGTCGCACAGGACCCCGGAAGACGTTATCGTTCCCAGGTACTTTGTTACCCTTGCCCAGCAAAACGGTCAACCGACGTTTCGATACGCTGACCTAAAGGACTGCAGCCTCTGGGACTGACATTGTCAAAATCATTCCGTCATGATGTTAATGGGACAGCTTTCCTAACTCAACGTCCGTAAAGCCATGCACTTGATTTTATGAGAATGATTTTGCCTTAAGAAATATTCTAAAACGAGTCCCCCAGCTTTAAGAGATGGATCAATGAGTCTTGTGTTAAGTTATGGGTCATGTCAGCATTTGAACAGTGAAAAAAGTGACCAGGGTTAAGCACTGACTCGAAATGGTTAGCATTTGTTCAGGTTTAGAGGTTCCTTTTTACTTGAGTCATAACTCACTAACTCACGACTCGTTAACCCCAGATTCTCCAGCTTAAAGAATAAACAATTTCTGATGTTTATGGAATGCACGTAGTGTGTCTCTTTGTGCGTTTGTTTTTGTATAACCTTTATTCACTAGGCTTCTTTAAATTGTTATATTTTTTAACACTTATGTTTTGATAAAAATACTATTGCTTCCAGAGGACCTTTACTTCTGAAAGAATTTGACGTTGATTTCTTTGGATAAATCCGCCCATTTTGATTGGGCTGTGCGCCTTCATTTTTAAATCCCTGCACTGTGCCATTTTGAGTTTTTATAACATAGGATCGACCTTTAACACTTTTCTCTACTTAAAACTTCGCGCTCAAAAATACGGGGAATCACATGACGTCATAAAAATTCAAAATGGCGGCGCCCAGCAAATTGAAGTAACTTTGCATCAAACTGTATTCTTAGAAATATAACGTCAGTTTGTTCCAACAGTGGAGGTTCACTCTAAAAATAATTCGCTCTCGTTTGGTTTCAATTCTTTTCACTTTATTTCAGTAAAGCTGAAAGCTCATTGTTCAATTTGACAAAGTCACTTACGTTTTGTAGAAGTTCTGATAGAGTTGATTTCAGTTGACACGTGAAGAGGTGTATGAAGATTTTTGTCGTCTGACCGTTTGATGACATCACAACGATCTCTATTGTGATTGGACAATTCACACGTGCGGGCTTGATAATGGTGGTGGGCAAAACACTGACCCGCAGTCCATGGACCACCCATAAGGATTACCCTAAAATGGTGTACGCCGCTGAAATTTGGTCATTAGGCTTAGGAACCTGAGTGAATCAGGTTCCATTTAGGGTCATTATACTGGGAAAACTGACCTCAGACTTGATTCACTCAGTATCATAACCCTAATTACTAAACTTAGGGTAGTCCATGTGGGCAGTCTATGGGGGTAGTCCATGGACTGGGGGTGAGTATTTTGTTCTTCACTCTCGCTAATGAGACAGCTATTTTTAAAGAATAGTGCATAATGGTCTGCGACATGAAATCCTGCTTCTAATTTGGGCCTTCTACGCATTTCATAGGTTAACTGAAACAACACTTTTTTAAAAAAAAACTGCATGTAGTTACATGTAAACCAAATGTCATGTAACACATAAAAGCATCAAATAAATGGTTCCATGGAAACCTGTGTCAGATGGTTATTTTATCACTGGGAATTTGTTTCACAAATGCAGCATAAAACCTAGAACTTACCACTTTTTAATCTTCCTGTTTGTGACGTTTTTAGAAGCCAACCAACAATTCTTTCCGCAACTCAAAGACACACCCCATTTTCGTGAGTGTCATAAGTGATATACGAATAGCCCATTTTTATACAGTCACAGGTGAAAACGAGGCTGGAGTTGACCCTGAGCGCTTACCTTTTGTATGGAAGACCCGGAAACTCCGGGGAAAATTCAAATGGAGCGGTTCATCCCGGTGGAAAGTTTCCGGAAAAAAAGTAATACCTTTCGAGGTATTACCTTTTCCCCGTTTTTACCGAAACGACCGAAATTTTCTGTACCATTTGTTTGGATTACTAGTGCCAGGCTTCATGTCGAGAGAAAGTGAAAAATTTACCGGTATTTTGTAAATGTTACAACTCAGTCCTTTTCCTGTTTCAGTGCCAAAAACAATACCAGTGCCATTTGATGGCAATTTTTCACGAAATTTCCGTGCAAATGGCAAGCGCTCCCTGTTTTGATACAACCCGTCCTGCTCTGTTATGCAAATCGTGTTGTTTTTATGCTATAAACTGGAATTTTCAAAGCATAATTTCCATAAGAAAACGAGGTCAACCTCATCCTCATGTTTACTCAAAGGTACGGATTCTAATAGACTGCGAGCAGTCCCTCTTTTTCTTCAGATTTAGTGAGAACAACTGCACGCGCGCGGGAGCGGCGGAGCCGCGAGACGAGCGAAACGAGGGCGGCAGCCCGAGAAGAAAATAGAAAGACTGCCCACTTAGCCAGAGCCAATGAATTAAGCGTTGGCCTCACAACGCAAAATACGATTGTCTGATTTGTGTAGCGTTGACAACAAACTGTCAACAATCGAAACAATTGACAAGTTGATGATTGCTGAAGTACTGTCAATACTTCAGTTTTGACGCCAAAAAATCACTA